CCTGCTGACCCAATTTGGAATTCCAGTAATTTAAGTAGAATGTTTAAAAAGAATCTATGAACCCAAAGACACTAAAAAAAAAAACGTGGTAAGAGGGAGGAAAAACGCATCTTTGTAAAAGGGTGCTAGCTAATAATGCAGATGAAATACTAGGTTTAGAAAGTCCCAATTTGCAGCAATCAATTCAATAAAATAATGGATTCTGCAGTGAACACTAAAACCATTGAGTGAACAGGATCTCCAAATGGTCTCCAAGTATCTCCTCCCAAATTATTTGCTTTTTTAAAAAAAGATGCTTTAAATTTTTAAAATAAAAAGATCTGACAGAATCCAAGTGACAAACTTGTATTGGCATTCAATATGACAATATTATGTGCCTCCTGATGAGATGTGACGCAATGAAAGGGACATACCATATGCCATTATGGTGTCTTCTGCCAAAATGTTTATCTTGAACCTATTTATGAGAAACAGAGAAATACAGAATTCTACAAGCTAACTGGCCTGCTTTTTCAAGTGTCAATTTAAAAAAGGGGGGGGTGGGGTGGAGAATTGCTCTAGAGCAGCGCTTCTCAACCTGTGGGTCGCGACCCCTTTGGGGATCGAACGACCCTTTCACAGGGGTCGCCTAAGACTATCAGAAAACACATATATAATTACATATTGTTTTTATGATTAGTCACTATGCTTTATGTTCAATTTGTAACAATGAAAATACATCCTGCATATCAGATATTTACATTATGATTCATAACAGTAGCAAATTACAGTTATGAAGTAGCAACGAAAATAATTTTATGGGTGGAGGTCACCACAACATGAGGGACTGTATTAAAGGGCCGCGGCATTAGGAAGGTTGAGAACCACTGCTCTAGAGTAAAGAAGACCACAGATACATGACAACTGAATGCCATGGGTCTGGATACTGGATTTAAAAAAACAAAAAACTTTGAAGAACATTTTGGGAGAAATTGAGACTCAAGCTTGAATATGTATGATACATAAGGCCAGCGATTTCCAACCAGTGTGCCATGACACAGTGGTGTGCCACAAGAAATTTTTAAAACATGCACTACCTATTTAGTCAGGGGCACTGACTTCTTTTCCCTTAGGTTGCCAAATAAAAAAAAAAATAACAACAGCTAACACAAAAGCCATCTAGTGTGAATAAATCAAAATAATATCTTTTTTTGTGTGAGATCAGCAAAAAGTTTTTTTTGATGTGCCGAATCTTAATTAGTTTGTGTGCTATGAAATTAAAAAGGTTGAAAATCACT